GTCTGGATTTCAACTCCCAGAATCCTCCCAAGCAGCATAGCCAGCCATAGGCCGCTTTGAGTACCCTGGCAAGATCTCAACATAGTGGACAGAATCTGTGTTTAGATACCAATGGCGTTGCGTTTCCGTTGAATGTCCCACTGAAATCAATGGGCAAATGACAATATCGATCCCATTGATTGCAAGGGAAAAACAGTGCAAGCAACTTGGTCTGGCCCAGTGGTGAAATCTGAACCGGTTTGCGTGCATGCAGATTCACACCAAACGCAAGCTTTTCACTCATGCGCAGTATGCGCCAAAAGGAGGCTTGGGAAGATAAGTAGAACAGCGAGAGGGGAAAATCAGCTGTGGCGTGCGATCTTGGGAACCTTTTTAAAAACTTTTTAAAACATTTTTTACTACTGGTTCAGGCGAATAGGTAGTAAAAAGTGCTTTTAAAAAGTAAAAAAAAGGTTCCGACGATCACAGCTGTGCACACGATCGTCGGAACCTTTTTTTAAAACTTTTTTAAAGCATTCTTTACTACCTATTCACCTGAACCGGTAGTAAAAAATTCTTTAAAAAAGTTTTTTTAAAAAAAGGTTCCAACAATCGTGCGGCACAGCTGTGATCTCGGAAACCTTTTTTTTTTTACTTTTTAAAAGCATTTTTTTTACTACCAGTTCGGGCGAATGGGTAGTAAAAAAGTCCTTTTAAAAAGTTACAAAAAAGGCTCAGATAATCACAGCTGTGCCATGTGATTGTCCAAGCCTTTTTTTAAATTATTTTTTAAAGCATTTTTTTATTACCTATTCGCCCGAAAAATTGCAGTAAAATTGCTTTAAAAAGTAAAAAAAAAAAGTTCCAACGATCAGAGACCGGTTCCGTGGAGATACGTTTTTCTGTGGACCGGAGGGCGTGTGGTTTTATGTGCTGGGATGGGGCTTCGCTTGTTTGCGCAGCCCAATTATTGGCATGCCACGGATCGGTGCCAGTCTGCAGACCGGAGGTTGGGGGGACCCCTCATCTAGGCAACTGGCGGTCTATCCAAGATCTTGTCCATCTAATTTTCAAGGTGCTTTTTTTCAGGAGGCAACTGGACTTTCTTGTTTTTTCTTTGAAGACGTTTTGCTTCTCATCCAAGAAGCTTCAAAGAACATCTTCAAAAAAAAAAAAAAGCTTCTTGGATGAGAAGCAAAATGTCTTCAAAGAAAAAAACCAGAAAGTCCAGTTGCCTCCTGAAAAAAGCACCTTTGGGACAACCATGACTTGGATGACTGAGAATCTCTACAGCAGAGGTCTTCAAACTCGGCAGCTTTAAGACTTGTGGACTTCAGCTCCCAGAATTCTCCAGCCAGCATAGCTGCATAGCAGCATAGCTGGCTGGAGAATTCTGGAAGTTGAAGTCCACAAGTCTTAAAGCTGCCGAGTTTGGGGACCCTGCTCTACAGACTCTACACACTGTTTCCCTGTTCTTCTGCCCTGCCAACAACTGGAATTCAGAAACAAAAATATACAGGAAAGACTTGTCACAAATTATTCTGGGCCTAGAGCACAACTATCACACTAGATGGCAGTGTTATTTTATTTTTTAAAAAGAGAAACGGGCAGATGATTGTGGCAGATAAAATTTTGCACTCCGTGGAGGAAGGAAGGAGAAATGTTCAACACAGTGTTTCTCAATCTTGGCAACTTTAAGACATGTCTCTGGCAATGAATCCCATCATAAAGAGGTTTGCCAACGTGGCCTCTCTGGGCACCAGGGTATCTATCCCCATCCTAAAGGTCTGGCTGAGGAATTCTGGGAGTTGAAGTCTTAATCTTAAATTACCAGATTGAGAAATTCTGTTCCAACACAGTGAAATTGTGAGGACTGAGGACAGATCATCTCTTTGAGGCTGCCCAGGTCAAGAAGCAGATATGGGAAGAATTCTAGGAACCCTCTTTACAAGGTAGTCCTCGACTTATAATCACTATTGAGCCCAAAATTCGCTAAGCGAAACATTTGTACAGTGAACACTGCCCCATTTTACAACATTTCTTGCCACAGTTGTTAACCGAATCATTGCAGTAAAGTTAGTAACACGGTTGTTAAATGAATCTGGCTTCCCCATTAACTCTGCTAGTCAGAAGGTCGCAAAAAAGTGATCACATAACTCCAGGATACTGCAACCTTCATAAACATGAGCGTTGTCAAGTGTCTGAATTTTGATCATGTGACTATAAGGATGCTGCAATGGTTGTATGTATGAAAAACAGTCGTAAGTCAGTTTTTTCAGTGCTGTCACTAAATGAAAGGTTGCAAGTTGAGGACTATCTGTATTGCAGAAAAGTAGAACATCAGGACCATGAGAAATCCATGCTATTCCTTCCCTGCTCCCATTTACATACAAGAAAATCAAGGCAGGATCATTTTGAGCCTTCAGATGACTTTTAAGGATGTGTTGTGGCCCCCCCAAGCAGCCAGCAGAACTGGCAGCAGATTCGGACAGTAAGTAGGTTGGGGTGGAACATGGGCCAATCCGGGGAAGACTCTGATGAAGGCAGAGATGGGGCCAGGGCCGTATGCCAGTTATCAGCTGCCTTCAGAGTCAGACATCAGTGAGGCATTCAAACAGCTGGAGCCTGTTCCCAGTGTGCGCATGCACAGAGTTGCCAGACGAAGGAAACAGCTAAAGTACAAGGGTCAACTTGGGAGTAAGGCCACAGGTGGATGATGAATGGTGGATGGTGAATTCCCTCCTGGAGGGAATAAAAAAGGAGCGAAAGGGGAGGGGAGTTTGCAGGAGACAATTAGTTTTCTTAATTAGTTTGTGACTCTCCGTGACTCCTTGACAAGTTTTGAAGATATTGGCCTGGCAGTTCCCTAAGCCAGATAAGGTCTGTGACTGTAAATTCATCCTTGAAAGACTTAGCTGGATGTGAATGAGAAGAATTTACAGTAACTTAATAAAAAAGGGGTTTTTGTCGGGACGAGGAGTCTGATTCGTGGTTTGGGGAAGCCTAGGTCAGAACAGGATGGGGACAGATAACTTGAGGCCCAGGGATGCCATGTTGCAGACCTCTTTATTGTGGAATTCCTTGTCAGAAATCTATTCACCTTTACACCTACCAAACTCAATGAAGGCGTAAGGCCGGGACACCGATGAGATTTTCTTCCCGTAAAGTTCCCAGAATTCCGTTTGCAGCTCCTCCAGAAAGGCGAAGGCCAACTTCTTTGAATAGTTAGCTTCACAGAGTGTCAAGTAACAAATCCCCTGGCTGATCAGGTAACTGTAGGGAAAAATACAGCAGACATTAAGGGAAACGAGAAGAAGATTTGAGAAGTAAATCTGCACGTAGGTTTGGAAACAGTAAAGATTCTCAATCTTGCCCCAAAGTTGCTTTTCCAAAAGGCAACTGGACTTTTGGGTTGTTTTTTTTCCCCCTTGAAAACGTTTCACTTCTCATTCAAGAAGCTTCTTCAGTTGTCCGAAGAACTGAAGATGATTTTTGGATGACGAGCAAAATGTTTTCAAGGAAAAAAAGGCAAGGAAGTCTAGTTGCCTTTTGGAAAAGCACCTTTGGGATAATTGGAAACAGTAATTTACAAGAATTCATATCAGCTTCCCTGTGGACATACTGTACACATCTGTAAATTATTCGTGAGTGCATCACCATATCTCAGGGTGTGTCATACTTCTCATTATGGACATCTCATTCCTTTTGGACAAGCACCATTGTGTCACACATCATTATGTCACACACACATCTGGAGCGTTTAGTTTGATGGTAGCAAACACCCATATAAGGGATGCAGTGGCTCAGTGGCTAAGACGCTGAGCTTGTCGATCGAAAGATCGGCAGTTCAACGGTTCGAATCTCTAGTGCTGTGTAACAGGGTGAGCTCCCATTACTTGTCCCAGCTTCTGCCAACCTAGCAGTTCGAAAGCACATAAAAAATGCAAGTAGAAAAATAGGAGCCATCTTTGGTGGGAAGGTAACAGCGTTCCGTGCGCCTTTGGCGTTTAGTCATGCCAGCCACATGACCACGGAGATGTCTTCGGACAGCGCTGGCTCTTCGGCTTTGAAACGGAGATGAGCACCGCCCCCTAAAGTCGGGAATGACTAGCACATATGTGTGAGGGGAACCTTTACCTTTTCCTTTAGCAAACACCCATGGTGATGTCTGCATCTCCTACATTTCTTGGTTTAAATATCCCTTTACAAAATTTGGCAGCAAATTTGTCAGACGGTCATAAAAGCAGGTGTTCTCATCCATCATAAAGTACGAAGCCGAAAGACTTGATTGTCTAAGTTAGTTTAACCATTTTTACTTTTTAAAAAAAAACTCCCAAGTATTTTTGTCTCCTGCCACAAAAGCATACAAGTGATATTAAATTGTCATAAATATGTACTTTAAAACCTTGGAAAATGAAGGAAGTCTTTTCTGATTGTGCATGGCAGGCCTCTGGGATGAAAATACCACACAGTGCTACACACTGATAATGCCCCTTTGTATAAAAAATTAGCTTACTGTCATCCCTGCATCCCTCCATTTATTTTTATTCCACCTTTTTTTTATAACTCAAAGCAGTGAAGATTTCTAATACTCCTTCTACCTCCTATTTTCTCCACAACAACTTTGTGAAGTGGGTGGGGCTAAGAGTCACCCAGCCGGCTTTCACGTCTAAGGGACTAGAAACCTAGTGCCTTAACTATTAAACCAAACTACCCCTTCCATCCATTTTACACACCGCTGCCCTCCATTGACCCTCAGTGCTTTATACTAAATCAGTTAAGAACCATCCAAGAAAATATTTAGGATGAATAAACTTAAATGGGTGAATCTCTTGTTTCTTTACAATAGATAAAAAACAAGGAGGCTTCAATCAACAAGCTTATTTAGAACCACCCAGGTCATTGAATCATGGCTTGAAGTTGGATTAATTTCTTGACTTGTGCTAAACTTCAATTTCTCAGTTTAAATAACTATGAATCTATAGCTGGTAGATATTTCATACCAAGGAGCTGAGTTGTTGGGACAGATTCAGTCCGGATTCTTATAGCCTGTGTCAGCACAGGTGAACTGAGAACCTAGGGCGTGCAATCTAGCATGAGCAAACTGCAGCTGGCATAGCAAGCTAACAGGATGTAGCATAAGTAAGCTAGGCGAAGTATTCACATGTGGTCGCGTCTATAGAAATGTGTGGTTAGAGCTTAGCAGGAAATGTACTTTATGTTTTTATGCACATATGTAACCTATCTTCCGATACGTAACCCATCTTCTGCTTACGCAAACAAGTACAATAAAAGAGGACGCTAGGAGCAACTCCTGGCTGACTCGCCCCGAGAGCAATCTGGTGTCAGTCTCCTGATTACTCAAGATTTGGACTCCGTGAGTAACCCACCAGTTTGGGGCGAAAAGCCACAACTGGTGACCCCGACGTGATTCGGTTCATTCAGGACACGTCGCCTGACGGCCTACTACTCACTCGTCTGGAATAGACCCCTCGTCTGGAATAGACCCCTCGTGCACAATTAGGTGAGTATGGGACAGAAATTATCTAAAACCCAGGCAGCGCATCTGGAAGAATTAGATATTTTAGTCAGGAAAGCAAATGTGATACAAAAGGCAAATGGAACTACTGCATACCCACTAAAGAAAAAGGATATCCGACTTTGTCTCCATTTCCTTGGTGAGAAATGCCCCGCGTATGCAGAGGAAGGACGATTAGAATTTAATACGTGGCGCCGAATGGGCAATTGGCTACATGAGTCCCCTAGAGCGCCCGCCCACATACTAGGAACCTGGAAAGCCCTTATGGCTATGGTCACCTTATTTTATGGCCCCTTACCCGCCAGCGTCACCGCCGACCATCTTTTGGGAGAGGGACCAGTAGCGACGGTGGCTCTCCAAATTCCCTCCCCGGTCGCCATGTACCCGTTTTTAAATGACATTATTCTAACAGCATTCTCTAAACTAGGAGATACAAAAAATGTGATCAGCTCTTTTGCAAGTGTTAAACAAGGGCCTCAGGAGCCTTATTCAGATTTCATCAATAGACTTACTCAAGCTATTGTTAGACAAATAGATAATGAAGCAGCTAGAACAGAATTAACAAAGAAGTTGGCAGTAGAAAATGCCAACGCTGATTGCAGATCTATCCTGAAAAATGTTGTAATAAACCCTGAGGCAAATCTGCCAGAATTTTTAGAAGCCTGCAGAAAAGCAGGCACCACCACATATCAAATGGAGGCATTAGCAGCAGCCCTCCAACAACAAGGAACAAGACCCAAAACAGGAAGTTGTTTTAACTGTGGCAAACCTGGCCATTTCAAGGCAGAGTGCCGTGCCCCGGGGGGAGGAGGCCACCAAGCAAGGGGACAAACCAACCAACCAAAAACGGTTTGTCCAAAGTGCAAAAAGGGATTTCATTGGGCAAAAGCTTGTCGCTCCTCCAAATCGGGAAACGAGTAGTGGGGCATTCAGCTAGCCCTGCAAAAAAGGCTGAAGTAATGGAGGACGAAAACACCAAAAAAATATATTCACATTCTTTCGAAATGGTGGCTTTAGAAACAACTACTTATGTTCTCCCCTCCCATGTATATATAATGCCCATAGGCCCGCGCCTCCAGCTGCACCTGGCTCCAAACCTTCCTGTCCTACTTTTCCCTAATGCAGACCTCGCAGAGCGAGGAATTATGGCTTCTCCTTTTCTTCGCTCCTCTGAAACTCTGCACGATCTCTCTTTAACTATCACTGTAAATAGTCCTACTTCCATTAAAGAGGGAGAGGTAGTTGCTACCTTGATCTTACTAACGGACGCCTTTCCGCAGGACATTTGTGCTTTGGATCTGCCTTTGGCTCGCGCTCGTCCTACTGCTTCATTTTTCCTTAATAACCGACAGTTTTCTGGCCTTTTAGACACAGGGGCTGATGTATCCGTTATAAAACAAGAGGAATGGCCAAAAGAGTGGCCTACTCAATCTGCCCCTTCTGTACGAGGAGTGGGAGGGGCGCAAGTCGCTAGAGCCAGCTCTGAATGGATTGAAATCACATCTCCTTCATCAACAATTATCGCTTATATAAAGCCAATTATATTACCTTTGCATATAAACCTGTGGGGAAGGGACCTTATGTCCCAGTTACAGGCTAAATTAATATTGGAATAAGCAAATGGCTAAGGAATTCATACTAAAACTGTCCCTGACCTCAAACACCCCCGTTTGGGTGGATCAGTGGCCTTTGACAAAAGAAAAACTAACTCTTTTAAAGTCTCTCATTGACGACCAATTAAAAGCTGGTCATATTGAGCCATCGACCAGCCCATATAATACCCCAGTCTTTATCATTAAAAAACGGAGCGGTAAGCCCCGCCTTCTTCATGACCTACGGGTCATCAACACTATTTTAAAACCTATGGGGGCACTACAATGTGGCACCCCAAACCCAAACTTGATCCCCTCTGATTTTGATCTGATGATCATTGATCTAAAAGACTGCTTCTTTTCTATACCCCTACACCCAGACGATAGGGAGCTTTTTGCCTTTACAGTACCTGAGCTTAATAACTCCCAACCCTCTTGTCGTTATCAATGGAAAGTGCTGCCCCAAGGTATGCTAAATAGCCCTACTATGTGTCAACACTATGTTTCACAGGTGTTGCTCCCCTACCGTAAAAAATATCCTACTTTCTTTATTTATCACTATATGGATGACATATTGGTGGCCGCCCCCGCCCCTAAAGGGACGGTATTGGCATCTCTCCCATGCCTTCAACGCATCCTGGCCACTGGAGGGTTGTATATAGCCCCAGAAAAGGTACAGAGCACCCCGCCATTCATGTACTTGGGACACAAGATGCTGGCTTCGCATGCTGCCCCTGCGTCGCCAAAGATCTTTCTCCCAAATCCCGTCACACTCATTCAGCTCCAGCAATACTTAGGGTCCATCAACTGGATTCGACCATACTCAGGATTAACAACCTCTCAATTAGGCCCTCTTTTTTCGGCTTTAACCCAAGGAAAGCACCCTTCGGATCCCATCTCTTTAACGCAATCTCAATTAGACACCCTTGATCTTATCAATGAAGCCCTAGGTCGACGATGGGTGGATCGAATTCAATCAAATTGTCCTTTTGTTTTAGTCATAATTAATACAGAAGGGTTGCCTACAGGACTCTTGGGGCAGGTGACAGACCCTTCATTGAAAATTGTAGAATGGCTTCACCTCCCCCATACGTCTAGAAATTCTATTACTCCCCGATTGGCTTCCTATTCCCAGTTGATTGTTAAAGGACGCTCTCGAAGCAAGGCCTTAATAGGCCTCGACATTTCAAAAATTTTTCTTCCAATGCCTTTGACTACCTGGGAGGCCGCCTTTCAGACATCGGACCTGTTGCAGGCGGCCTTGGTGGAATGGCCGGGCACTCTTTCCTGCCACCCCCCCTCCGATCCCCGTATTCAGTTTCTGAAAACTATTCCTTTTAAATGGAACTCCCCCTGCCAACTCCTTCCCATTCCTCAGGCAATTACAGTCTTTGCCGATGGGAGCAGGACATATGGGGCCTGTGCTTGGCAGAAGGACGGCCAATGGAAAACTAAAATCACCCCCCCTCAAAAATCCGCCCAGCGTGCTGAGTTATACGCTACCCTCTTAGCTTTTGACCAATTCCCCACTGAGTCCTTCAATTTGATTGTCGACAGCCTCTATGTCTGCCAAATTGTGTCTCACATATTCGATGCATATTTATCCCCCTCAATTGAATCCTCTCTGCTGTCTCTGTTTTTGTCTTTACAAACCTTGATTATGGCTCGCCAGCACCCTTTTTACGTTTCCCACATCCGCAGTCACCAGCCGTTTCCTGGCTTCATACAGGAAGGTAACACTGTGGCTGATGAAGCTGCCGCCACAGCGAAAGCTGATGTATTTTCAGTCCTTGATAACAAACCGTCCCCTTGGGACAGCCACGCATATTTTCATCAAAATAAAAAAGCATTAATTAAGCAATTTGGAATCACGGCCGTGGAAGCAACTGCAATAATTAACCAGTGTCCTGCTTGTAGCAAACAAGCCAAGTCCATCCCTATGGGAGTAAATCCCCGTGGTCTAGAGGTTTGCCAAATTTGGCAAATGGATGTCACCCAGTACTCCCCTTTTTCACCCTGGAAATATTTGCATGTATCAGTGGACACATACTCAGGCTTCCTTATGGCCACTCCCCAGAGAGGGGAGACAACCAAACATGTCATCAATCATTGTATTCGGACTTTTGCATCGCTGGGACGCCCAAAAGAATTGAAAACTGACAATGGCCCTGCATACACCAGCTCTGCCTTTGCAGATTTTTGTACACAATGGGGAATTACTCACAAATTTGGAATTCCCTATAATAGTAGGGCCAGGGGATAGTGGAAAGGGCTAATCAGACCTTGAAAAACGCCCTGGAACGATTTGACCTAGGGAAAGGACCCCCTAGCCTCCCAGCAGTGCAAGACAAGTTAAACTTGGCTTTGTATACCCTAAACTTTTTGAATGAGACGGGACAACCACCTACGACGGCAGCTCAACGTCATTTCTCTTCACCCCCCTCTCCTAAAGCTGCAAAACCACAAGTCTACTATCGATGTCTCCCAGAACCCGACTGGAAAGGACTGGCTGATTTAATAACCTGGGGTAGAGGATATGCTGCAGTCCAGTTGAAGGATAAAGTCCTGTGGGTCCCGGGAAGGTGTGTGCGACCATACCACATGACCTCCACGCCACCACCTTCGTCCCCCGCTTGAGACAACCGCCGTGTCAGATGTGCTGGTTTTGCCCTTGCCCTTGCGATTCCTGCTGCTGTTCCCATTGTATTGATTGTGTTCTGTGTATTGATTGTGACCTTATTTGTGACATAGTTGTTATTGAACAATTACTTGAGGAATACATATATACCAATTCCTCTGGCCAACAGGTCACTACCCTAACGGCAACTCCTACTGTAATTACAGCCCTTAGTCAACCACCTCTTACGTATTCCTATCATTGGTCTTAACATGGCACCTGTTCCAGGGTTCGTTTTATCAGTCCTTTTGATTTATGCCCATGGTTTGTGGATACATGCCCTCCCAAAACCAAACCCCTGTTCTTCCTGTATCTCCATTACCCGCACTGACGCTAGGGAGGGTCGTACCCTCCTTTATAAGAATAGATATTACTGCAAGGGCGAGGTTACAACAAATTGTCTATTTCAAAATATTACATACTCTGCTTGTACAGAAAATAGTAAGGCTACTTGTTATGACCCTCAACAGCCAGCGGTTTATCATCTATTGGAAGCACGAAAGGGCAATACGAATGGAGAATTTATTACAAACACTCGCTTGGTGTCTAAAAATTCCCCTGCCTCCCTCGTATTTGATGCATGCCGATTCACTCAATGGCCTACACAGTGTGGGACCCTAAATTGGCAGAGATACTATATACACCAAGATAAATACATTTGTCCCCAAAAATGGCCTCGCCAATATAAGGGAAAGAACGAGTGCAACGCTCCGGATGAACGGTATTGCCCTTATTGGAGTTGTATTGCTTGGGCAACCTGGCAGACTGTCAGCAAACAATCATCAGCTGTTTTGAAAATCGTCTCGGTTAAATCTGACTGTTCAAAGGGGTCTTGTAATCTCCTCAATTTCACGATCTTCAATCCGGAACATTTCATCTCCCAATGGGGCCCGCAATTTGGTATTCGAATCTGCGGTTCTGGTAAGGACCCAGGAACTCTCATCTACCTTCGTCTACTCACCATGTCAGAAACTGGCCATGATCTTCAGCAGTACTTCTTCCGGGACTTCTGGGAAGAAACAAAAACCCCTGTGGACATCCCGCCTGTTGCTGTCAATACCTTTCAAACCCTCGTGGAAACTATAGCAGAGGTTTTAAATGTTACCAATTGTTACATATGTGGCGGCACCAATATGGGAGAACAATGGCCATGGTTGCCGTCTGAATGGAATATGTCTATCCCTTTTAATCTTACTGCCTTTAATGTTACTTCCCCTCTCAAACCCCCATACAGCAGATGGCCTTTGAAAAGTGCCCTAGTTGCTGAATGGTGTTTGCAAAGAGAAAATAATTCCTCTCCCTCCCTGGGCCACACGGTGTGTCAGTCGACTCTACGACTGAATGCCACAGGCTCTCAGGTCTGGCCCGCTAACGCTATGCCTCCTAACGCCTCCCATTGGATTCCCCTGTGGAACCAATCGCTAAACTATGGTTTTCCAGATCCCCGAATAGCCCCTGCAGGCCTATACTGGATCTGTGGAAAAACAGCTTATTCCGTTCTGGACCCTTATTGGAGCGGGTCTTGTACATTGGGTACTATAAGACCCTCCTTCTTTATGCTCCCTCTTGATAGTGGCCAGTTCCTTGCCCATACCGTGTACAATAGAAAGAAACGATCCTTATACGAGATCGGGTATGATGTCTCACAAATCAAAATTGGAAACTGGAAAGATGATGAATGGCCCCCTGAGCGTATCATCCACTATTATGACCCCGCCTCATGGGCTGCGGATGGAACATATGGCTACCGTACCCCCATTTATATGCTAAATAGAATTATCAGGCTACAAGCGGTGTTAGAACTTATCACTAACGAAACTGCTAGGGCCTTCCGCCAGATTGGAAAAACACAAAGGCAACTAAGAAATGCCGTCTTCCAGAATCGTCTAGCATTAGACTATCTCCTTTTAGCTGAAGGAGGGGTATGTGGGAAATTCAATCTCTCAAATTGTTGTCTAGAGATCGATGACAGTCACAAAGTGTTGACTGAGGTAGCAGACAAAATTACCAAATTAGCCCATGTCCCTGTTCAAACTTGGACTGGCATCCTGGATACTGGGGGGTTTCTGGGTGGCCTTTTTCGCAATTGGAAACAAGCCGCACTAATGCTAGGAGTCATCTTGCTGGGATTACTTATGCTACCCTGCCTAATACCCTTGCTCAGGTCCCTGATACAGAGTATAGTGGATAGCACTATCTCAAAAAACAATGCGTTGCTACTGGAACACAAGGAGCAAAGAACATCCCTACTGGGGTGTGACAGTGCCGAACCCCCGGACGAGGGCGACGCTGTCTCTCTTGCTGCCTCTGTAAGCACGGAAAAACACATCTGTATGGCCTTTCCTTCGGACGAAGAAGAGGAAGAGTCATCCGTGCCTTAAAAAATAAAAACAGAGGAGATGTTGGGACAGATTCAGTCCGGATTCTTATAGCCTGTGTCAGCACAGGTGAACTGAGAACCTAGGGCGTGCAATCTAGCATGAGCAAACTGCAGCTGGCATAGCAAGCTAACAGGATGTAGCATAAGTAAGCTAGGCGAAGTATTCACATGTGGTCGCGTCTATAGAAATGTGTGGTTAGAGCTTAGCAGGAAATGTACTTTATGTTTTTATGCACATATGTAACCTATCTTCCGATACGTAACCCATCTTCTGCTTACGCAAACAAGTACAATAAAAGAGGACGCTAGGAGCAACTCCTGGCTGACTCGCCCCGAGAGCAATCTGGTGTCAGTCTCCTGATTACTCAAGATTTGGACTCCGTGAGTAACCCACCAGTTTGGGGCGAAAAGCCACACTGAGTGAATACTGAAGCTGGCACATATGATGTTCAGCTTAATTAAGATCTGATTTAGTGTGAAAATACAATCACAGTCCCCTAAGTGTTTCATCGCTGTAATTTTTTAAGCTAGATTACAGGGGTGGGCAATTGTGGCTCTTTTACAACCTGTGGACTTCAACTCCCAGAATTCCTGAGACAGCTTGGCTGTTAGGAATTCTGGGAGTTGAAGTCCACAGGTTGTAAAAGAGCCACAATTGCCCACCCCTTAGCTAGAACAACAGTTGCAGGAACTGGGAATGTCTACTCTAGTCTAACAAAGAGAAGGATTAGAAATGACATGACAACAGTCAATATTTAAGGGGTTGCCACAAAGAAGAGGGGACCCACCTATTCTTCAAAGCACCTTAAGGCAGAACAAGAAGCAATGGATGGAAACTTATGAAGGAGAGAACAAACCTAGAACTAAGGGGAAATTTAATGACAGGAAGAACAATTAACCAGTGGAACGCCTTGCCTCCAGAAGTTGTGGGTGCTCCATCACTGGAGGTTTTTAAGAAGAGACTGGATTGCCTGAAATGATATGGGGTCTCCTACTTCAGCAGGGGGTTGGGCTAGAAGACCTCCAAAGTCCCTTCCAACTTTGTTATTCTGTTATAAAGCATTTGACAGGCAAAAGGGCTGACCAGGTTCCAGAAGTTACTAAATATTGGTGTGAGTTTATAATCCGGTAATGAGTTCCCTCATTTTTAATTTTTTTTTTTATATAATTCAAGTCCTAAGGCATTGCAAGAAATTTCAAGCTGACAGAATAGGCACATTCCTCAGTTGTTTCGCCATGGGATGGGTGCAGTGGTGGGTTGTCCCCGGTTCGGACCGGTTCTATAGAACTGGTAGTAATACTGGTGGGAGGCTCCGCCCACCATTTCATTTCATTTTCATTTTATTGAATTTGTATACCGCCCTACTCCCGAAGGACTCAGGGCAGTGAACAGCCATAAAAAATAAAACATATAAATACAAAATTTAAAATAGAGATAAAACAAATTAAATAAATTTGGCTGAACCATATTTAAAACCCCAATAATTTAAAACCAAATTTAAAATTCCCATTTAAAAGCGGAGAAGTTTAGGTCAGGCCGGCTTGCTGGAATAGGAACGTCTTAAGCGTGCGACGGAAGGTACGCAGATCCGGAATCCTCCGTATCTCGGGGGGGAGCTCGTTCCAGATAGTAGGTGCCCCCACAGAGAAGGCTCTCCCCCTGGGGGCCGCCAGTCGACATTGTTTGGCCGACGGCACCCGGAGGAGCCCCTCTCTATGGGAGCGTACTGGTCGGTGGGAGGCTATTGGTGGTAGCACCAACTCCGACGTCATCAGGATGCTTCTGTGCATGCGTGCGGCCCTGTTGCGAACCAGTAGTAAAGGTAAGTAGAACCCACCCCTGGATAAAGTGGTGGGTTCCTCCCGGTTCCGACCAGTTCCACCAAGCCAGTAGCGGTGACGATATGATGTCACCGAACCGGTTCTGGCCCCCGGCTCCCCCTCCGTGTTATTCTTACCTTTTATTTGGTCCCACCCCCAATCTATTGCTGCCTCCTGAGTCCCAGCTGATTGGCTAGAAGGAAAAAACTTTTTAAACTCTTGCCGCAGGGCTTCAAAGGGCCGCCCTACAGCTGATCAGTGTTAAAAGGCAGTGTGGTGGTAGACCGGTGCCTCCAAAAATAAATGGGTAGACCGGTGCCTGCAAAAATAAATGAGTAGACCAGTGCCTGCAAAAATAAATGAGTAGACCGGTGCCTGCAAAAATAAATGGGTAGACCGGTGCCTGCAAAAATAAATGAGTAGACCAGTGCCTGCAAAAATAAATGAGAAGACCGGTGCCTGCAAAAATAAATGGGTAGACCGGTGCCTCCAAAAATAAATGGGTAGACCGGTGCCTGCAAAAATAAATGAGTAGACCAGTGCCTGCAAAAATAAATGAGTAGACCGGTGCCTGCAAAAATAAATGGGTAGACCGGTGCCTGCAAAAATAAATGAGACCAATAAATGGGTAGACCAGTGCCTGCAAAAATAAATGGGTAGACTGGTGCCTGCAAAAATAAATGAGTAGACCGGTGCCTCCAAAAATAAATGGGTAGACCGGTGCCTGCAAAAATAAATGAGTAGACCAGTGCCTGCAAAAATAAATGAGTAGACCGGTGCCTGCAAAAATAAATGGGTAGACCGGTGCCTGCAAAAATAAATGAGACCAATAAATGGGTAGATCAATGCCAGCAAAAATAAATGGGTAGACCGGTGCCTGCAAAAAATAAATGGGTAGATTGGTACAGCTCTGCAAGCAGTTAAAAGCCTGGTAGACCAGTACCTCTGCTAAATCCTAAATAATTGTCACATGACCATCAAGCCACGCCCACAAAATAACCCACGCCCACAGAACCAGTAGTAAAACATTTTAGAACCCAGCCCTGCCTGGATGGGGGGCATATAAATTTAATCAATACGTTTCTTTTCCACCTCACTATGAATCAGAAAAACTTACTGAAAAGTCATCGTTCCAGCCTGCAGAGAACATCGATTTGGCGAATGAGCCCCAAGTTTTCGGAAAAGTTGTTTGGCTTGATTGTGATATTCTTGGAAGTTCCGATTTGACTTCAGATACATGCGGGAAAAAAGTTCATCATTCAAAAAGCCAGAGTAGAAATTATAATCCCTCACAACTTTGAACAGAAGCAGGTCAGAGAATTCTACTGTTAATTTCACCTAACCTAAGTGACGGAAGGAAAATTATACACTCTGCTTTTGCAGTACAGGTAGTCCTCGACTTACAAACAGTTCGTTTAGTGACCATTCGAAGTTACAACGGCACTGAAAAAAGTGACTTATGACCGTTTTTCACCCTTTTACAACCATTGCAGCATCCTCGCAGTCACGTGACCAAAATTCAGCTGCTTGGTCATGGGATCCCTTTTTTGTGATCTCCTGACAAGCAAAATCAACGGGGAAGCCAGATTCACTTAACAACCGTGTTGTTAACTTAACTGTAGTGATTCACTTAACTGGAGCAAGAACAGTTGTAAAATGGGGCAAAATTCACTTAAGCAATGTCTCACTTAACAACAGAGATGATGGGCTCAATTGTGGTCGCACGTTGAAGACTACCTGTATTTTGACGCCCTGGTCGTAAGCCGAGGACTTCCTGCATTTAGCCAGGAAGAGCAAGGCCCTCTTTGCTTGGTCCTAACGTGCCAGGAATAAATAAAATACCTTTTGCTAGTATTCTCCTGTATTCCCGCAACTCTGCCTAAGGGAGGGCGAAGGGTAAACCCCCAAATCAGGGGTGAAATCCAGCAGGTCCTGACAGGTTCTGGAGAACCGGTAGCGGAAATTTTGAGTAGTTCGGAGAACCAGCAAATACCACCTCTGGCTGGCCCCAGAGTAGGGTGGGAATGGAGATTCGGCAGTTTCCTTCCTCTGGAGTGGGGAGGGAATGGAGATTTGGCAGTATCCTTCCTCTGGAGTGGGGTGGGAATCAGTGGTGGGTTGCCCCCGGTTCGCACCGGTTCTATAGAACCGATGGTGGGATTCAGCCAGTTCGCACCACTCCGGGAGAACCGGTTGTTAACTTTCTGAGCAGTTTGGCAAAGTGGTTGTTGGAAGAAATCATTAGGGAAGAGAACTGGTTGTTAAATTACTTAAATCCCACACCACTGTATAGAACCGGTAGTAAAATCGGGCGGGAGGCTCTGCCCACCTACCCCAACATCATCAAAATGCTTCTGCGCACGAGGCCCCGCTGTGAACCGGTAATAAAGGTAAGTAGAACCCACCCCTGGTGGGAATGGAGATTTTGCAGTATCCTTCCCCTGCCACGCCCATCAAGCCATGCCCACAGAACCGGTAGGGGAAAATATTTGAATTTCACCCCTGCCCCAAATTAACAGTAACAGAGTTGGAAGGGGCCTTGCCAGCAAATAAAATAGCAGGGAGGAGGAGGAGGAGGAGGAGGAGGGAAGGGGAGGCAGATATCTAAATAAAACCAAGCGCATTGTTTTCCCTAAGGCTCGTAAAGCCGCCTTTACTGGCTTCAGAATGAGCTTTAAAAACCAAATAAAAACCGCGGGAGAAACCCCATCCATTCTTTCCAATTAAAAACTGTCACCTGTCGAATTTCTTTTAAAAAAAAAAGGAGCCTTCTTAAGGAAATCGCAGGTGCGCTCCAGAACAACCGAGGCGGCTGAGCAACTGGGGAAGGAAAAGGGGGGGGATAGAGCCGCATTGGGGGGTGTGCAGGACGTCCCTCTTCTCCCCCCATAACCCCCCCACCCCCACCCCCATTTACCTGCTCCGATTCTTGCATGGAGGCAGCCAAAAGCAGCCCGTCTTGGACGCGGCTGATCATGGTAAGCAGAACCATGCTGGCTGGTGGGAGGGAAAAAAGAGGGCAAGAGGGGGAAAAAAGAGGATCTTTAGCCCAGGGCGGGGGGGCAGCGTCCCGGATCCCCCACCCCCCGCCAGCTCCTCTTCCTCGCCTCTGTCCCTCGGTGAAAGTCTTGCAGCCGGGACTTCAGTCTCCCGCTGACGTGGCTGATCGGGCCGGTGAGGGGAGGGGGGGGGGTGGCTGGGGGAAAAAAAGGCGGAGCGAGACAGGCGAGAAGTTTTACTTTTGCAAACTTGCCAGGGCGTGTCCGCTACTTGTGTGTGTTTGTGTGTTTGTGTGTGTCGGAAAAGCGGAACCGCAAAAGTTCTTCCCTCCCTCCCTCCCCGATCCTCCTCCCTTCTCCGCTTCGGCCGAAGCGTCTTGGGAGGATGCCGTGGCGGTGAAACGAGAAGTGCGGAAAAAAAATATATACGGCCCTTGGCGCTTCGCGTGATGGAGTGGCATTGCTTTTTTTTTTTTTTGTTAATCGCGCGGGGAAGTTTTTCGCGTGGGGCGTGGGGGGGGG